GCTGCCCCGAGGGCAGGTGAAATAGCTCAGATCCCAGATCGCAGCATGACTGGGAGTCGTGACTGCCAAGCCTCCTCCCCCCTGTTCTGCACAAAAGCGTTTATTTTATTTTACCCCTCTTCCTCAGAGGTGCCACTGCCCCCCCAAGCAGTAAGAAATATCAACCCGGCTGCAGACCCGGGACACAGCTCCTGCCCCAGTCGCCCAGCCTTAGGCAGCAGCACCAACGGCCTGACCTTAGGCAAACTGCCGCCTTCTGTCCACAGAGGATCTCCTTCCCTGGCAAGGGCTCACCGGTTCTCTGCACAGCATTACATTTCTGCTTTTATAAACAAGGCAGCGTGAAGACAGTAATGCCCCTTTTGCATAGTTTTAAACCCTTGTATGTAAGCTTTTAACACAGTTCTTTCAAAATTATGCCTGACTCCCATCAGGCTCATAACAGGCTGCAACAATTCTGCAAGGCAGCGGAGTGTGCAGACTGGGCTGTTTAGATTTTATCAGCAGCCTGGCCACTGGATTTCCAGTTTTGCTCAAGTTACTTTGCTTGTTTACCACAAAAGCACTCTGCAAAGGCTTAACAGACTCTGAAAGCCAGGAGATCCTTACATGAAAGGCTCTCTATAAAAGGCCGAAATATGAGGAACATTTTCTCTCCAGTCTCTTAACCCAGTTGCCTTTGTCAAAAAAAAAAAGGGGGGGGGGGGGGGAAGAAAAAAAATTTGAGATTTTCTCATCCCTTCCCAGGCAAGTAAATGAAGTGTCATGCACCAAGGCAGCTGCTGAGAGAAAGCGTGCTGTCAGCACAGAAGGAGGGAGGACAGCTTCCTTCACAGGAGGCTTTTATTAAAACTGGGTGACGTCTACAAGGATACAGTACAAAAGAAAATTTTGGTCCATGGAAAAAACCGTAATATTCAGTTAAGAAAAGCAGTTATTCTGCAACAGCTACGTTTGCCTACGCAGTACTCAGCATCCTTCACGTGTGATTCCCCTGAGGAGTCAGTGGGCTGCTTCATCAGCACCAAGACCTTCACCCCAGTACCACAGAGGAGCCATTTCATAAGGGGACAAAGGAGAAGGGAAGTCGAGAGTCTATTACTCACAGACTTGTAGTAACACAGACACGAGGAGTAGGGCCACCCAGGCTCCCAAATTCCTAGCAACTTTCCCAACCACACCAAAGCTGGGTGTGGGATGGGGGGGGGGGGGGGGGTCGTCAGTAATGTGATTTTGCAGCTTTTCCAAGAGAATACGACCAAGTTTCAAGTCCATTTGCATTACAGTCCCGAGCAGAAATACTGAGATCCGTGTGAGGAGAAGCCATTCTCTTATGCCTGACCACTAGTTACTAGTAATTCATTCCATCAAGAGGCATCTAGGCTGCTACTCCCCACAGTAGAGAAAATCTACTTGTACATTCCTGAACCATGCTGGGCCTTACGGCAGCCCCAGAACCTAAAACTTGACTAAAAACCACAGGAACTTCAGCATGGAAACACCTGCTAACTCGCACACGCTTGGAGCTACGTCCGCTCCCAAGGACAGTCCTGTTGCATCCTCGGATCCACATGAAGGAGCTTCTGGTCCCCACAGCAAGTGACACAGGATAACTGTCCCAAAGGAATGAGCCTACAACACTGCGCCCCTGCACAATTCCACCAGGCAGTTGCTGCATCCCCTCTCCCTGCTACAGGGAAAACAAGCAGCTACGTGGCTTGCTGGAACCACAAGAACACGTCTTTTGAAGTGCAGAGCAGTCCGACCACTCCAGTGCTTCCACATCCCCGCAGTAAGCCGATGGCTCATCTCCCCTGTGATCCCGGCCTAGGATGGTCTGTCAAAGAACACAAAGGAAACAGGGCAGGGAAAAAGGGACAAGGGGAGAAGCAATTCTCTACACAGTCCAGCAACTTCCTTGAGGAGGAGAGTGATCTATGAGGCAGCCCAGTGCAGCAGCACCCTCCGAGCGAGGGAGTAAGGGCAGGGAGGTATGTCAGCTCACAGCATCCTGCCCACTACGTCTCCTGGCACCTTGCTGTAAAACGAGGCAGGGAAGAGACCAGCCGCAGAACTCCACCCTTGCAGCAGATCCAGGCTTCCCAGACCCAGGTCTCGCGTGTGCCACAACGAGATGCTAGTTGGGGAGGAATGGGCTGTGGTCTCTGAACTTGAGAAAGGCTCCAAGTCAGCAGTCATACTGGCTACTGGGGACACTACAGACAGTGCGGAGTCAAGGGGAGGCTCTTGGAAGCCTTGGGACTGACAAGGCAACAGTCATGAAGAAAACCAGGTAGAAATGTGTGCTCATTGGAGCCTGTTTGCTTGCCACACCCCAGAAGACCCCAGGTGTCCTGGAGCTGCCCCAACAGGGACAATGCCAGGATGAATAATGATGCGGGCCTCGCTGCCGGAGTGGGGTTATGTGAGCTTTAACAGCGTATTCTGCAGCTCTCTGTCTCCACAAATAGCTGTGATGCCTTCTGGTTGGGGAGGAGCGGAGCATCCTATGTGTTACGGATTCCCAGGGCCTGCTCCAATTCCTGCCGTCTTTGCTGCACCTGCGAGAGAAGCCAGAATCGCAGCATTAACACACTCAGACTGCGCAGCACCACAGCGTGAGCAACACAGGACCTGGCTGGAAATGGGTGAACTCAAACAGGGACCAAGACGCACCAGCAGTGTCTACAAAGCTTAGCACTGCCACTGTCCACCATCAGCAAGGAGTGACAGGTACTCTGAGCCACTGGGTATGGAGAGGGACCTCTGCTCGGGGATGCTCACCTTGGAGTAGAAGTATCTGCACACAGCTTCCTGAGCCCACGGCTGGAAGTAGAACTCCGCTCTACGCTCCTCTTCAGGATTCCCAACAACATCCGTCATTGTCTGGAGAGCACAAAGGACAAAACAGTTCAGGGAGTGCAAAAGCTCCGGCTGTGCTGAGCAAACCCACACCCCCTCCTCTTTCCTCAAAGACGTCTCAGTACAGTCAGGTCAAGTTCTTACGCTTGACTCCAATTCTAGTCTCGCTTTCTGAGCAGGAAATTGCCTCCCTCTCTGTGGGAGCTGGTTATAATGAGGGAAGCGTGTGACTGGATCCAGCTTCCACACAAGACAAAGCTTTTACCTTTAAATCCCGGCACTGGGACTGTAGCCAGTCATTGATGAAGCCCTGAGGATCTCGGGCAAAGCTCAGCATGAACTCACGCTGGGTCTTCAGCTGGTTAATTGTCTCTATTGTTTCATGAATCTGAAGGAGATAAGCACAGCAACTGAAGTGCTGAATAGGGAAAAAAGTCAGAGAGAAGAGAGACCCAACACGCAAAGGCAAATTCTTACACTCCGTAGCTGACTTACACCCATCAGACAGGATTTCCAATTCCCAGTTCCCTGCTCCAAATATAACTAATTTTGCCACTGACCATTTGCTTTAAAATTACACTTCCAGGTAAAGCCACTTGTTTGTAAGCACGCTTTACCCCACTCCAGCTTCCAAATGCACAACGGAGCAAAGCTGAACTCCTGTCCTGCTCGGGGCTCCCCTGCTCCAGAGACACATCCCCACCCAGCACTGAGGAAGGCAGACCCGGAGGAGCAATTCCTACCTTGTTATCCAGAGCAGCGATTTCCTGTTGACTGGCTGTGGATAGCAGAAAGGAATTCATCTGAGTTTTCAAGGTATCATCCACCTCCACATCAATGTCGTAGCAAGCTGTTTTCTTCTGGTCATTTGGGTCAACACTAGGGGCATCCACAAGAAAGAAGCCAAAATAAGTGAGTAGCTCAGCAAAGCACCAAATTGTGGCTCCTCTGGGATGATGCAGCATGGACTGCAAGCAGGGACAAGCCAAGCTAGCGTTAGCTTCAGCTCTGCCACCAAGCAGCAAAGCTTCACTGACAGCTCTGCAGCACAACGACCGAGTAATTGTTCCAAGCAGATTTCTATCTACAAAAGCGTAATGCCAAGGACAGCATGAACGTGGGAGTGCCTTGTGGAAGAGAGGGATGTGGTAAACGAAAGAGGCGGCTGTTCTTGTACAAAAAAACAAAGACAGGCAACACAGGAACTGCTGCTGAAAATCAGAACATATTACATCATCTTTCCGTGCCAGCCTCATCCATCCCTTCCACTCATCTTCTCAGAAATATGAAGTCAAGAGGATCAGTCTCACCTGATCACATGATTAATGATGATCGGTTCTGGGGGCATAAGCAACGCATGAAGTCTTTGTGGGATTTCAGAGAACTTCATCCGCTGAGATTCAAATATCTGTGACAGAAACACAGGGGTAAGGAAAGGAACGGGAGCTCAGTGCCAGCAACCACTGGCTGCTGGAGAGAGTCCAGCGGAGGGCTACGAGGATGAGGAGGGGACTGGAGCATCTCTCCTACGAGGAGAGGCTGAGGGACCTGGGCTTG